AAAAAGTGCCCAACGTCCCTTCTGAAACCCCTGCAGCGGTAGTAGTCCGAAACAAGAATCAAAAGTATTATTCCCTGGCGCGCTCCCCCTTGCGTCTGCCGGGGTCGGCGGATATATACATATATATATATATAAGCTGCTGGCTACTGGCCATTGCTTGTCTTTGCTTGTCTTATTCCCTGGCGCGCTCCCCCTTGCGTCTGCCGGGGTCGGCGGATATAAAAACAAATCTTGTAACCCTCCTAAAGGCTCCCGGCGGAGTGGATGAAGACGTCCCTTCTGACAGACAAGGGGGTGACACAATGGGGTAAGGGAAGCTATTAATAAATTAGTGGCAAGTTATGCCCATAAATTAGTGGCAGGTTATGCCCACAAATTAGTGGCAAGTTACGTCCATAAATTAATGGCAGGTTATGTCCGTACAATTAGTGGCAGGGTATGTCCAGAAATTAGTGGCAGCCTGTGGGACAACCTTGTGGTGTGGACACTCTCGCAAGACACTGCTGCCCGAGTTGACTGATCCATCCGGGTTCGGCGTTATGTCTGTAGATTAGTGGTAGGTTATGCCCATAGATTAGTTGCTATGCCAATCAATTAGTGGCAGGTTATGTCGATAAAATCTTGGCAGGTTGTGTCCATAAAGTAGTGGCAGGTTATGTCCAAAAATTACTGGAAGGTAATGTCCATAGATTAGTGGCAGGCTATGTCCGTAAATTAGTGGCAGGCTGTGTCCATAAATGAGCGGCGCTCCTGCTATGATTTTGTGACACTCTTCTGGGACACTTTTACACGACACTCGTACTGGAAATAACCGCTACATTTTGCATACCTGACTTTTAGGCAAGCTTGAAAATGCAAACCTAATAAGTAATATTATATTAAATTAAACAAGATCTATGTGTTTTGACAAGGGGCATTTATGTTCTGGGAGCAACATCGATACTCATTGTTTTAAGACAACAAAAGATCACAAAAATGACAACAATGACAGCACATGACAAACAAATAACAAACAAGGACAAAATTGACAACCCTGAGGCTCGAAGTTAAGGCCTCGAAGTTAAGATGTGATTCCATTTTGGTGATAAAAATGGAAAATGGATGGACCATACGTGGTTCATGCAATCATAATTTCCATGCTAAACAGGTCAAATCCATGCACAGTTTCTCTCATCAGTTCATACAGTTGACACAAATGACTCAGCTGCACACTGAGCTGGCCAACGTAATCACAACGTGTTAGCATCGTGAGCAGGTAAACGTTCAATCAACGTTTTACCATATTTTAGATTTTATCTTTTTGAACATATTTTGTCTTTTCTTTAATATTTTGTAAAAAAAATATGAAACCACATTTGTTTGCACAACGTTCTGGACAACAAATTAGTCTACCAAATTTCAGATTAGCCTACCTAAATTTCAGAAATGCCTATGTCATTTTCAAATCACCTAGGCATTTCTGAGATCAGGTAGGCATTTCTGAAAGTCATGAAGGGCAAACCCCTACAAACTAATACCTTACGATCTGGGATGCTTTCTTAAGTTTGTGAATGATAGTGAAACACACGTCTGTGTTCCTCATCAGAACATGACTACGATCAAGCGCGTATTTTTTTACATCCTTGTTGGATGGCATTTCCATGCTTTTGTTGCAGGTTTGATTGCAACTAAGTAGTAAGAGGGCATGCATGTGTGAATATTTCGCGGATGTTTGTCCGGCTCACAACAGACGGTGACCAGAGCGCACCGCACAATGTGGAGTCCTGCAAGCACATCTTGTCAAAAACAAACATTGAACATTCAACGATCATTTCAAGAAAAATGCAAGCAAACTATTGTTTCCATTGTTTAAACCACCGCGCATGCTTCATTGGACACATGTTTAACCAGCAGTGCACATCAATGCACAATTTTGTCAGCACAAATCCAATATTTTTTTGAAGTCGTTTTACTGCACTTGGTATTTGATTTCTTTGGGTTTTCCATTGAAAGATCCAACAAAAAAACATGGTTTTAGTCACCGGCATGGATTCCGTGGAGTGGGCCCCGTGGGCCAAAGTGTCTCCACTGGAACTGGTGCGACTGGACTCTCAAGTTGCGCAACTTTGTGCGAAGGCATAACCAAGAAATTATCAACATGTGTCTCGGCATTTGCTTCGGGCAGCAGTGTCGATGATACCCAAGATGTCAGCAGGGCACAGTGGGTAGATTTGGAATGGTTGATGGTGCCGCAACCTACTCAAGACTGCGTCCTATGTCCATTTTATAGAGGGAATGCTCGACACGTTTTGAACACAACCCTATAGATTTTCCCGAGCCTAGCTCTCAGTGGCAACTCATTCCTGACCATCGATTTTCAGGGACGGCAAAATTTCTGCCTTGACTTCACAGTTAGGTTCAGTGCATCCTTGAAACTTGACATAGGCGGAAATGACACAAACGGAACCAAAACTATTTTGCAGAGTCCATCGAAATCGACTCCTTCAAGATCGGGAGTTGCCTGGAGTTGTCCACGTCCGGGGTTCGCGGTCAATTTCAGAATTTAAACGATTTGCCTATGTTAGATGCAATTTTGAAGTGCGAAACAAGGGTGGCAGCATTTTGGAAGAAGCACCTAGGCAGCATTGTTTCAGATGAGGAATTTCCTTCCTTGAGATGCTTCGACCAGATTTGCGTTTGAGTCCCATGGATTTAGTGCTTGGCATTGCAAGGATTTTGTCGAAACCTAGCACGTCGAGAGGGCAACCCATGCCTCACCAGAAAATGTCAGGGACAGCAAGGATTCGACCATAGACTTCCGATTTGGTGCACAGGTTTGAGCCTTGATGCAGGAAGAAAGGATACATTCCAGGATATATTTCACACCGTTCAGTCTTTTGGCCACGGAATCGCGTGATGCCTCCGCACAGTGTTCTTCTAGCGATGAAAGGCAACTGAGCCGCTCTAAAAACCTCCCTTTACATGTTTAGTAAGGGCCTTGTCATAACGCGTTTGGCGTAAGCAAAACCCTCGCTTGCGTAAGACCGCGTAAGGACTTCGCGTAAGGGCGTCCTAAATTTGTTCCGCGTAAGGAAAAAACCCATGCGCGTAAGCATGGCGTAAGCTCTGGCGTACCCAAAATGATACGACATAGCCAGTGACTTAAGGTTTTTAGATTGGCTCAACTGTGAAGCCGGAGCATGAGACAGAGATGCTGGTGTAGCCACTAAACAAGTGCAAGTTGCACCAACGCCTCTTTTAAGCATATATACCTGACCACAGGTGTTTCCCTTGAAGTGATTTTTCCGTCCTGACCAGGTCGTGCTCTTCTGGCAGTTTAATGCGCCATTTCAGAAGACAGCTGGTAACACATGTAGCCTGAAACGTGCTACGAGCGCAATTCCTCCATTGGATGTAGACAAAAGATATTCACTGCCATGTAGGAACCCTACATACATTCCATTTTGCAAAGGACAACGTCTAAACTCATCCAGATTTGTTTGTTGGGCCTCTACATCAACACAGTCAACATGGAATGTGGACACTCTCTTTCCATTTAGGGCCTTGCCATTTTCTTTGCCTGCAACATGCGACTTGCATAGGTTGCCATGGCGTGGAAGATTTGTTGAGCATATAGTTGAATCCAAGTAAGTGATTAGATAAGAGAGGATGATCTTAGCAGCGGAACTTGCGACAGCTCGCAGGGGGAGTGACAATTCAAGAACGAAACGTTTGCGCAAATTGAGATGACAGGTTTGCAGTCTTGAAAAGACATATCCCAACATTGGCCAGGTGCAAGTACGGCTGGTGCTTGAAACAAGGCCCATCCAGGGAAGTCTCAGGCTACAAAGGTCACCCAGATGCTCTGAAGAACTTCACACAACACAGTCACCATGGAAGAATGACAACAATGTTTTCTTACTTGTAGCTGTACCTCTTTCGAGGAATCCTGCGTTGGTGTCGAGTTCAGTTGAGTTCTTTCAATCAATATACCTGATAGGATCGTCTTCGCAGTAGCTTGGACCTGCAAGATCTCGCCAGAGGCTCTTTCCAGTCACAAATCCGGAAAGAAAAAAGTGCACCAATTGAGATGAGCGCCTTTGCTTTGCCTCGAGCAAGTTTTTGCCGTTGGTTGGCTTCAACCATGTCATTTGAAGCACACCGCACCAGGAAGGTTGAAGTAGCAAAATGCTGCGCCAGGCGGCAATGTTCGTTCCGAGGACTGGTGGAAATTCTGTTCGCTGCTGGACCCCTTCCGATGAATCCTGCAAAATGGGAGTTGCATGTGGTTGCCATGAATTTGAGTATCTTCGCAGCTGCCGGGACCTGCCAAAACCCGGCAGAAGCTCTTGCCAGAGGGGGCAGCTCAGGAATCAACAAATATTCAAAGTGAGACGATTTGTTCGCAGTCTTTGCTAGACTTTTGGTTGACTTTGGTTGAGCGCAGCGATGTGAGTATCCGACTAAATGTATGGAAGATCAACTATTAATAAAAGGGCCTTGAATGTTCTGAAGCATGCAGACTTACCAATACCTCCAAAAACCCTGAGACACCAATACCTCAAATGGGTGATACAAAAGGATCAAAATCGATAAGGGAGAAACCCGATTTTGTGAGAAGCATGATAAGCATGAAGGGAAGCAACAAGGTTTTACCGTTGCTCATGTGTTGTTTGACCTTGAAGCAAACCGAGCCTCAAGTCGCAACGTGTTGCACCGGGTAGCAAAGGTTTCCCCGACAAACAGCGAG